TCACTAAACGAATTTTTGAACAATAGTTTCAATGACTTACATTGTTAGCTCTGTTTGTGAAGATGTTGCGATTTTGTTGTCTAAAAGTATATTTATTTTGTCCTTTGCCATTTTACCTAATTGTCATTTTGTCTAAGAAAATAGGTTTTAAATTTATATTGTATTGGTAGATAATTTATGGTCAATTATGTCTGTGAAAAAATGACGTGTGAAAATACTTGTAAGTATAAATCACCAATAAAGCATACATAAATAAAATAATCGCGTTTACGCCATACAGATGGGTCTTGAGAAGCATTAAATAATTAGGGAATTTAGATTTACAGTATTTAAAAGTAAGATTTTTCATTCGGCACACATTTTAGCAGACAGAAGACGTGGTGGTAAGGTCAAAGGTATTGGCACGAAAGAAGTTTAATCGTAAACGTGGCGGAAACATTTCGAGGATAAACTGATGCCTTACCTCGTTTAAATTTTGTCCTGGGAAATTGAGTGTTCAGATTTAGGTGAGAAAGCATCTCCACCGACATGAGCTTTTGAATCGCGTAAGGTCCGCATTTTACACCACAAAATTGTTGGCAGTGAATAATTGGCGTAACAGCAATTGACATCTACTACCACATTTTTTGGATATCTCCGTCGTGTATAACCAAAAAAATAGCGCTTAGATCGATAGACTAGTTGTAACCATTTTTCAGAGATATTGAGAGGTCTGTTCAATTTTAAAGACTTAGAAAATCTAAAGATCTTTGAAGAATCAAACAATTTTTTTAAGGGAGGCTAATCGGTTATAGCGTTATACGCATATCGATGATCAAGTTACGTTACTGCAAATGCAATATAGTATATATCTCGGTAAATATCGACTGTATACAAAATTTTTCTATATGATGAAAGTTGTTTTTAACATTTTATTCCCATTTATAATTTCGCATTCAGTTGTTTTTATTTCAGAAAATGAGTATCGAAAGCAATTGCATTTTTTAAATAGGAATGCACCCTTTAATTAGCCTCATGTGACAGATTTGTTTTTCTCTTTATTATTGCAATAAAATTATTTTATTGCTAATATCATTTGGTCTTCTAGGTTTAATAAGAAATGTACAGGTTTATTTGCTTTATATTGACGCAAGATTAATATTATTGATGTAATTTTATTATAATACATTGTTTTTAAAGCCATTAAAAAAATTCAATTGTTTTTCGTTACTCGTTAAAATCTCAATAATCAGCAGTTACCTATCAAAATCGGTTGGTTAATGCATTTTGTTTGTTTTTACAAAATTATGTAGCTACTACACCGCAAGTGAGAATTTTTTTGAAATCGAAAGTAATATCGGAAATTTCAGTATGCGATCGAATAAATCGTAAGGTCACACATAAAATTTGTCGTACCTATCTCGCCAAATAAAACGAATCGAACACACTGTATAGATTATAGTGATTCTTCTTCGAGATAATTTATTGGTCGGTGTGGGTTCACGTGAAAAACTAACCTAGAATTTCTCTTAGAAATCACCATCACTTCTTTCAAGACACTGGTTTGGTTTTGTCTTTAGAAATATACATTCAGCCACTTTTAACCTATATCTATTACAAAGTATAGTTGTAAGGTACTAAAGGATGTCCAATAATATCCTTCGAGGGAGTTTTAATTTCTTGTTGCGCTCTTCCGACCAATAAGTTACATAGGACCAACCGTCCACAATTCCTTAATTTTTGAAGGGAATTTTAATAAACTTATTAGCTCCCGTTTACCTAAAATTTAAAAGAAAATCTCAAACTCATACCCTCCGACTTTTCCATCTTAACAATGCGCTTGTTTTCGAGATCTCGAAAGAAGAAGAATTGGAAAGGGCGAACGATCTACTATACCGGTAGCTTTAAATTTGCAATTTGATTTGTTTCGAAATTTCGTTGCGAAGTGAGAAATTGTGGGATTTCTAAGAGTAGGACACTATCATAAAAAATTAGCGGCATTAATTAGATTTCCAATTTAAAGATATTCTTGGTGGAAATTCAAAAAAGAAATTATCAACCGCGGTGCATTTTTGCGTAGTTTAATTGAATGGGATATTGCTCTCTTAATTAGTTTCGAAAGCTTTCCACATAATATTCGATATCTAATGTATATACCTTTTAAATCCAAAATGTATAGGGAATATCCTATGTACATTCATTATGGACATTATGTATGCATATTCTATATACATTCTAAATGTGATATGGATGTTTAGGAACACAAAGTATAAAACTTCCTAAATCTAAAATAAACCAGAAGTATCACGCACATTTTATGTATCATTTATGTATATTAAAAGTACACCTGATCATATACCTCCCCGCTATTATATATTCTATGTATATGATGTATATAGGTTTTGGACTGGATGGGAATTACCATAAGGGCAAGAATGGCAGGTATATAAGCTACCTAATTCATAATGGGTTATTAACTCACATTATTATAGTGAACACGATCAAGGTGACTCAAGAGTACAGTACTGAATAAAACAATACAAATTTGCTAAGCACATTTTCTAGCTCTACTGCTTTAAAGTTTGGAGTTGATGGTCCAAATTTTGAACTGTTTGAAAATATAGTTCCACAATCTAATTGATTTTTTTTTTATTATTGGCAACCGGATCTAGCAGTTAAAGTTAAGGTAGCCGTATGTATTTAAAAATAGACATGAATGAAATTAATTGAAACCTGATATAAGAAAATAGTACATTTTAGGAAAAACACGAGTTTGGTGGGAATCTAGAGGGGTATTGTGAGAGTTTGAGGAAAACCTAGAAAGAAATGGAGAGGAACTTGAAAACGGCTGATAAATGACATATGAGAGAACTCGAGGAGAACCTAAAGGGGAACTTGAGAGAAACAATAAATGTGAGGGAAAATAGAAAAAATCAGGGTTGAATTCTATCATGGGGGTCGTGTGTCCATTTGTAAGCTTATTTCCTTTTATTAACTGTATATTATATTGAACCAATTTATGAGACTCTTCAATCATTCTTCGGAGGTTATACTCAAAAACTATACACAAACCTTTTTAATTTGAAAAATTTTTTGGATATTCTCGTGTGATCTATATAATCGGTCTTTTTTTTGCTTTGGCAGTACCAATAAGCCAGCCTAGTTTATACGGTCTTCACAAAGACGTTTACCATACTACCAATACCGAATGTATCCTTTCAAAGCGCTTTAAAACCTTTTTTAAACGTAAAGTGTGTTTGCTGGGTTCTGCAGGGATACCTCTAAAATGCATTATCACTCTGTAATTGGGCGCAAGCCTATTGAGGGCCCTGAATAAGAGGGGCAATAAATAAATAATCACAACTTACATCGCGTCAACCCAGTGGCTGGGAACTTATGATAAATTGACGCGAACGGCTAGTAGCACATTTGAAAAGAGCAGAGGAACTTAAAAGACGATTAAGAAGACATTGAGCAAAGCTTGAGAGAAACATTAAGAGAATTAAAGAACTTGTGAGGTAGTTGAGAGAAGCTTTAGATAAACTTGAAGGCAGCATAAAAAGAAATTAAGAAAAACTGTAAAGGAATTCGATAGAAACTTAAGAGATACCTAAGGAGCAGAGAAATTGTGAATGAAGAACAAAGCTTGCGCAAAACTGTTTGAAAACGTGATAAACTGAGAAGGATTTTTTACGACCTTGAAGGCAAAAAACCTTAAGAAGGCTGGATGAACTTGATAGAAACTTGGAAAGGGATTGCTTGAGAGAAATATCAAGTGGTTCGATAAGCTTGACTTAATTAATAGTTTCAATAAAGTACACATAAGAAATATTATATAAATATATTAAAAGGGGCATCCAAATTTGAAATTATTATTGCATATAGGAACCAAGGTTGAGCTAATCCAACTTTTTACGAAAGGAAACTTATTTAGTGCAGTAAAGCACGTTTTCCATGCGGTTGTATAGTTTTATTTAACCAATATCGAATTCGCTTGCTTCCTAGTTTGCTAAACTATGCTGCAATCTTTACTTTATTATCATTACTATGATCAATATTATTACGCACATAGGAGACGTAGTCAAGGCCGTTAATAAAGGGAAAAGTGACATAAAAAGAAAATGGAAATATATTTTCAGGTTTTAGCGTATGAAATTTGTGAACAGATTAATAGGGAAAAAGGAAAGTATGGGAGAGTGTCAAATTGTCAGGTTGAATTTGCAAATTCGAAGATAACTACAGAAATATGAAATTTATCGAATGATTGATATTGTGTCTATAAGCTTGTTTTCATCTTGATTCCGTTATTTGTCTGCCAGAATTGCTAAACTTCAAATATTAACTTTGTACCAGATAGCGGGGTAGTGACATTATTCGATTACGGTCGCCGAAAACCGACGTACAGCCAATTCCGATCTTGATAGTCCCTTTTCGATTCGAAACTGTCCCTCAAGTTAGAAATTAAGAATCCAAGGAGAATAATTGAAGAGACTCGAAGATGAATTTAGGCGAACGATACATTTTAGTGAAACTGAAAAAGGAAAAATCTGCAAAGACTGTTTCAATAACCTCGTAAGAAACATTAAGATGAAACTGTATCTGTATCTAGATACAATGAAACAAATTTATGTAAAAATGCATCTAGATATAATGTATCTGTATTTAGGTACTGAAATGAAAGTATCCGTCACAACGCTGTGTATAGAAAAGTCACTCTACAGGGTGTCCTACATAGTAAATTGAGTGGGATGCATATACTTAGTTCAAGAAACAGATTAAGTGAAAGTGTTAAAGTTTTATCTGATGGTTAAGAAAGGAAGAAGACGTGCGAAAACTGGAAGAAAGTGAAGGGAAGCATAAGATATCCTGATAAGGTAGGGGAAAGGCAAGGAAACTAATTATGAACAATATTAATGTCTCAATTCAGCGTGCAATCGCGAGATATTGGATACTCTTTAACCTTTTGCATTGCTCCAATATGATAAAATCTATAATAAACTCACGTATCGTCAGAAGTGCTTCACCATGATCAAAACATGCATGATACTGTTGCTACTGAAAATATCGATGCAATGTACACTACCTAGCTTTAAAAACAACATAGTGAAGGTAGATGGTGAGAGTCGAACAATAAGTGGTTGTATCTCGCCTGACACCATTCGAGCTGAAGGTAAAATTTCCTACATACTAGCAGAAAATCAAGATATTCAAGATTTAAATTACGGCGCAGTTCAGGGAATTTCAAGCAGCTTTCGTATCGACTTTCTCAACACCAGCATCGAGATTATCAGACAAGGTGCCTTTTTGGATCTTCCCCAACTTATTCGAATAACTTTGTGGGACAACGAACTCTCCTGGATTAGTGAAAACGCATTTCAAGATTTACCGTTGTTAAATGAAGTGCACCTAGACCATAACAAGATCACCGATGTATTGCCACGTGCTTTTAGTAATCTTCCAAACTTAGATTCGGTGTCTTTTTTCGGAAATCAGCTCGAAAACTTTGACCAATCTTGGTTTTTTAACACGCCAGCTCTTCAAGCTTTAAAATTGGGACAGAATCGCCTGCGGAAGATTCCACGAGGTGCCTTTATCAATCTGCCATCTATTAAGGAACTGGGATTCGCTAGAAATGAATTAGAGTTTGTCGACAAAGATGCCTTTAAAGGATTAAGAAATTTGAAATTTTTGAATATGGCTGGTAACAAATTAAAAAGTTTTGACTTTAATTTCCACACCCCTTCGAAACTGATGAGTGTTGTTATTGAGAATAACAACATAACGTATATATCTGATGAAATTCTGGACGTGATACGACCCAAATTATCTAAATTTACCATAGCCGATAATCCTCTACAATGCGCATGCCTGGATAAAATAGTAAAATGGAGTGACGCCTTTGATATAACTCTTCCGCAGAGGGAATTGCAACAGTCCGGTTCCGTGTGTATATACCCAAAGACTAAACCAGACCAGTGTCTTGAAAGAGGTGATGACGATTTGCAAGATGAATTTTGGGTTAGTTTTGAACGTGAACGCACACCAATCCATGTTTTTGATTATCTCGATGAAGAAGGACTATATCTATAAAGTTATTATTTGTTAGTTTTAAAACTTGCCATTATTTTTTGCTTGTGCGGATAATAAAAAATACTCAAGGGCGTTTTTCACGTCTTCTACGTGCATTAGTTTTTTTAGCGCATTTCCACAAAAATAAAAAAAAAATGCGCTATTGTGGCCACTTTGTCCGTCCGTCCGTCCGTCCGCTCGTTTTGCGACGCTACTAGTTCTTTATCTTAAGAGTTATTGTTCTACTTTTACATGGAATAAAGGAAAATCAAACGCCAGTTTCAAAATTTGGTTTTGCGCATGCGCAGTGCCAACTTTTTTATTTATGGAAGAATTTAAACGAAATTTGATACATAGGCATTTGGGATAAAGGAAAATCAAACGCCAATTTCAAAATTTGGTTTTGCGCATGCGCAGTGCCAACTTTTTTATTTTTGGAAGAATTTAAACGAAATTTGATACATAGGCACTTGGGATAAAGGAAAATCAAACGCCAATTTCAAAATTTGGTTTTGCGCATGCGCAGTGGCAACTTTTTTATTTATGGAAGAATTTAAACGAAATTTGATACATAGGCACTTCGAATAAAGGAAAATCAAACGACAATTTCAAAATTTGGTTTTGCGCATGCGCAGTGCCAACTTTTTTATTAATGGAAGAATTTAAACGAAATTTGATACATAGGCACTTGGGATAAAGGAAAATCAAACGCCAATTTCAAAATTTGGTTTTGCGCATGCGCAGTGCCAACTCTTTTATTTATGGAAGAATTTAAATGAAATGTGATACATAGGCACTTGGAATAAAGGAAAATCTAGCGCCAGTTTCAAAATTATATTTTGCGCATGCGCAGTGCCAACTTTTTTATCTATGGAACCATTTAAGTGAAATTTGATACTTAGGCGCTTGGAACAAAGGAAAATCTAACATTAGTTTCAAAATTTAGGTTTGCGCATGCGCAGTTCCAACTTTCTTATTTAGAAAAGCATTGAATTGAAATTCTTCTCATAAACTGAAATTGAAGTAGCACGTCAAAAATGGATTGCCCATGTGCAACGCTATCTTTCATATTTGTAGCCGGATTTTTACGATTTTAACAGAAGTTGCATCTTACAAATGGGAAATGAATGCAAGTGGAAATGCGCTTTATGTAAATCGTTTACGATTACTTTTTAACTTGTTTAATTTTAGACACAGGCGGAACAGCCGGATCAGATTGAAAACTGTGATCTTGACCCGTAGATTTTTCGCGATCAAAAATTGAGCGGTCCCCTTTTAGAGCCAAATGTTTTAAAGAAACCGTAGAACATGAATGACAACGTTTGTTGTCCTGTAATCAGTTTGATATGTCGATTCCAAAAGAAATGTCTCCAGTTGCAGGGTGTAACGAGAGCGATTATTTTGCGTAAACTTTTTGCGATTTTTTCCATTGAAATATGCGGAAGGATAATTTCTTAGTTTAAAAGGTGTCAAGGATTCAGTAAACATTCAACAAAACAAATATTCACTATGTCAAGTTTAAGTTTTTATTTTGACGACTGGAATACGGCGAGCTTTTTATGTCATCTACGTCATATCTATCAGTAACGTCTTTGATTTAAATCGTATTGGGCGCCCCATTTTTGGGACTTTGTATCGTTTTACATGCTAAAAAGATGATGCGAATTAACTTTCTTGAGAAAAGAATAAGTACAACTCTGTTAAGTCAGCTTTTCTGTAGCTCGTGAAGTTAACGAACCAACGAAAATTAAGGAAATATCACCGACATTGCTTTCCACCATGAAATAATAAGACATTTTAAGTTAACTTAGTATAGAGAGAGGGAATGAGTTTTGCACAAAATTAAGGATTCGCTTAGCGATAGTAGAGCTGGTTAGAGCGAGAGTTAAATCGGAGATTATGAGATTATTGAAAATTATGTAAAACTGCTGTTTTATCAAAAGAAACCCCCGAATTTGTGACCAGTCTTTTCAGACTTTTTGTTTTGTGGAATCAAATCGAACTCCATTTAAATCTCATTATAAATGGAACCAAATTCACGGGTCTTTCATAATTTAATGTCACTGTGAAACAAAATCAGCTTGAAGTGTAAATTATTAGCATTTCAATCCCAAACTATTGGGCCATTTTAGCATTAGTAAAAGAAATGGCCACCTCAACTTAGAATTTAACTATTCAAACCTATGCCAGATAGTATAATAGTATCTAGTCCAGGCTATATAATATTTTTGTATGAAAAAAATTAGTTACCGGGCGAAACCGGGTTTTTCAGGCAGGTGGAATGAATAGAATTTGGGAAAACAGCTGAATTTTTCCGCGGGTGAAATCACGGGGGTTGAAAGGGTTGGAAAGTGGTATTTTGCAAATTGTATCTGCACTATTTATTTTCACATAACCTCCAATTTTCCTAGAAAAACCGGAAAAACTGTTTATTTCGTTTTTTAATCTTATTTTTGCGAAAAAATGTCGTAGGGGTTTGAAATTTGGAGGTAACATAGCCTGTTTTATGATAAAACAGAAGATAATTGTTTGGGCCTATAAAGTTGAACCGTTTTCAAGATCTCACGATTTCTGGAAAAACCACCTCTTTTTCAAGGGGATGAAAAATCTATTTTTTTTCATCGTACAGAGGTGCGCGGGGTAGCAAAATTTTCGGGAAGACTTATATTTTAATAAACAAAAATAAAAAAATATTATTCCTATAGCAAAAATTCGAGAAAATCGCCAAACACCGGAAAAACAATTTTTGACATGATAAATCAACATGTTGGATGTTAATAAAGATTTTTTCGAAATCTGTCTTCTTCCTTCTCTTTAATGTTTGCCTAAATATTCTCTTTTGTTATCTTATGCTCAACTGTTTTAGTTAAAACATCTTTATTATTTCTTTTTTCTGCATTTTTGTCGCACTAAAAGCAATTCGAAATAAAATCGAATTATGTATCTTGCTTCCTGATTCTTGAACAATTTATTTTTGTTCACTGATTCTTCTTCCTGCTTGTTTTATAGCTGATTCAATTGCGTTGGGCCTGTTGATAAATCTGCAATAAGAACGTTGGTTTTACCGGCCAAAAGCAAATGATTTGAGATGTCAAACCTGCAGGAATAAACTTTATGAGGATTTTATTCATAATTCCTGTAAATTAACGATCAACAGGCCAAGCTTAATCCCATCAGCTGTAAAACAGGCAGGAAGAGAAAAAGTGAACAAAAACATATTGTTCAGGAAGCAAAAGAATTCGATTTTACTTCGAATTGCTTTTATTGCAGTAAAAATGCGCAGAAAAAAGTAATAATAAAGATGTTTTATTTAAGGCAGTTGGGCACTGGGAAACAAAAGAAAATATTTTACCAACATTAAAGAGGAGAGAGAAGACAGATTTCCAAAACTTTTTATTAGCGCGGATCCAACACGTTAATTTATTTGCAAAAAAGCCTATTTACCTACTGTCAAAAACGGTGTACCTTAAAACTGTTCCCCTCGTTTTTGCCGCTTTTCTTGAAATTTTTCTATTGGAATAATATTTTTTATTTTTGATTATTAAAATGTAAGTCGTTACGAAAATTTTCCTACCCCGCGCACCTCTGTACGATGAAAAAAAATAGATTTTTCATCCCCTTGAAAAAGAGGTGATTTTTTACAGAAATCGTGAGATCTTGGAAACGGTTCAACTTTATGGGCCCAAACATTTATCTTCTGTTTTATCATAAAACAGGTTATGTTACCTCCAAATTTCAAAGCCCTACGACATTTTTTCGCAAAAATAAGAATAAAAACGAAAAAAACAGTTTTTCCGGTTTTTCTAGGAAAATTGGAGGTTATGTGAAAATAGTGCAGATACAAAAGTTGCTCATTTTTTTAATCTCTATAACTTTTACATTTAACATTTTCGTCTAAAATCAATAGTTTTGCCACAATTTGCAAAATACCACTTTCCACCCCTTTCAACCCCCGTCATTTCACCCGCGGAAAAATTCAGCTGTTTTAATTATTTTTCCCCAATTTCTATTCATTTCACCTGCCTGAAAAACCCGGTTTCGCCCGGTAACTAATTTTTTTTGAAAATAAATCATTTTAGAGCTATTTAGCCTGGACTAATCTAGAAAAGTAATGTAGTAAGGGAAAGCGGTTTTGACATTTTTCGTGTTTAGTTTTTATCAATTTGCCGTAATTTATTATTTCTGTGGTTGTTATTGTGATAGACAGTACAAGATTCAAAGAATTTTGAACAAATTCGACGATTAACGGTCTATTTACACACCAGAAACTGTTTTAACTTCAATATATAACATTTCTGTCATGTAGTGCACGTCCAAATTAGCTGGAATCGACATCCGAAACATCACGCAGGGTTAAAACTATCAAATTCAAAATTTAACCATTATTTTGAAAATAAATAATCCAAATTTGGGGCTTAAGGATCAGATATGCAATTTTTTTTAATGCCATTGGCACCAGCGACCCTAAATCATTCAGAAATTCAAAATTCGTCAATTTTTACAGGTTAAAACCTTGAACACCCTTTTGAACAAAAGTGTTCAAATTTTGAACCTACACGAAAATTTCGATGGGTGCTGCGGGCCAAAAGTCTTATTTGGACCTAATGAACACGTGTACCGAGTTTCATACTTTTGTTACAAAATGTAGCGAAAAAATTTGTACCGCCTACGCTATGTACTGTAAACCATTTTTTCAGTACGGCCTGATGATGGGTAATATGTCCGAAATCGATCGCCATTAAAGAAATTTTGTAAATATTTGCCTATTCTTCACCGGTAAATAATGGACAACTTCATTAACCAAACTGTTTCACTTATAGGGTTTGAATTCTAATGCTTGATACAAAAAGTATGAATCTTGGAATTTGTTTGACATCTTAGCGCTGGTAGTCTAAAATTTAATCTTGAACGTTTAGCCAGTCCAGAAGTTTCGATCCTAAAACTTTTTGTTCTCATTTCGTTTTGAGACTGTTACTAGTTTATCAATTTCATAAGTGCATTATGTTCCAAAAGATTTGATTTTACTCCCCGAGGAGAGTAATTTCATGGTACGTGTACTATTTTTAAATACCGACCTATGTGCACGGTCAGTAGAACTTATCAAAATACA